ACAACTTTAAAAGCACAACTATAATGATGTGGGAAAATACCCAAACAAAGCTGAATACCATATAGATATATATATCCATATCCATACACATACATATACACATACATACATACATATATATACATAGGTTCTCTTAGTTGCCCCACCTTTGGTTATGCTCTAGGATTTTTTTTCCTTTTGATACTGATGGCTTTCTTAGCAGGAAGCAGGACGTGAGGGGATTTCTCTCCTGCAGCAGTCCTCGCAGCAATTTGGTTCTGAGGGATACCATTTTTATAAAATAAATGTCAACAGATGAGTCTCAGAGAATCCTAAATGAACCTGTCCACAATCCCCTCAACAGGGCAGGGGCAGCTCGATCCAAGAATCTGGAGGCCTACAAAGGCTCATCGCTCCTGTTCTGACAGTAAATCAAAAGTGAAACCAGTCTTCCCCAGACTGGCCGCTGGATTCAAAGACCCATGACTCCCCACACGCGCTGGATTCAAAGACCTATGATTCCCACCGAGCAGCAGGAACAGGTGAGAGGAAGTGCAGACGGCTAGGGAAAAATCTGGAAAGGCACAGATGCCCACCCCCCCCCCACACTTTCAGTGAATCCCCCATGTATACGGCCAGTCTACCTTGGAGGTCTACCAAGTGGGGGAATTAAAGCGGGATGAAAACCAAAAGGATTAAATCAGCCTTCGGCGGCTTGACACTCTCCATCTATTTCAAAACTACAGTTCCCATCACTCTCAGCCACCAGGCTTACGGCCATGCTGGATGGGGACGGTGGGAATTGCAGTCCTCAGCTTATCAAATTGAAGACGAATCAGCTCCGGTATTTACCATCACCACCGACCCTTCCCCTTTCCCTCCTCACCGGTAAGCGCGGCGCAATCTCGGCCGAGCAGCAGTGGCAAAAATACCGTCCCGGCTGCGGGGAAGCCTCCGCCATCTTGCTTCCTCCTTTTCCTCTTTCCTCCCCCCCGCCCTTAGAGGGAGGCAAGACCGCCACACGCTGCGTCCAATTACGTCAAAACGCTTGGTAAAGCAAATGTCCTACGGCGGCCGTGCAGGTTCAAGAACGGGGGCCATCTCTGAGCAAAGGAAGGGCGGGAAGTCAGAAATCACAGAGCTTTCCAGTCCTAGATCGCCACTTTCTGCCGGAAGAAGGCTGAGAGGAGGCGGACTCGGGAGGGTGGTGACCTACAGACCGAGAGCAAAGGGCGGGCTCTTGCTTTTAAAGCCACGTGACTTCTTCCTTCTTTTTCAGCGTCTGTATTCTCACGACCTGCGGAGTTGAAACGCGTTAGGTAGCAGGCAGGTTGATGGTTTAAGGTGCAATACGAGTCCAGCTTTTCTTCCTCTCTCGTCTTTTTACAAGTCCACCCGCATTGCACGCTAGAGAAGGGAGTCTGCGGGCTGATACAAAACTTGGTTAAGCTTTTCTCTCTTTTTCTATAGCCACCGAATAGAGTTTTGCACTCTTGATCTTCAATTGACTTGGTTTGACAGGAGGCGCAGATTTAATCGGCCTCACAAGTGAAGTGCAAGCCAAAAAAATAGACTTGTATAAAAAATCTTATGATTCTTGACGAATGTATCTTTTCTTTTATGTACACTGAGAGCATTTGCACCAGGACAAATTCCTTGTATGTCCAATCACACTTGGCTAATAAAGAATTCTATTTTATTCTAAAAAAAATCGGTAAAGAATTGTCATTAGTTGAAAGTGAATTTGTGGACATCAATTAAGCATTCACTAGGGGGCGCTTGCCTCCTACTGATGTATATTTCTATTCTGCATAAGTGAATACCAACAATATTATCAGAGTAGCCATTGTGCAAGTTGGTATTACCATATAACTTTTCTCCGTGCATCTCAGGCTGCCTAGCTTTCATTTTATTTTTTATTTTATTTGGTTTGTCAATTGCTTACAAAATACTAGGTAAAAGTAAAAACATAGTTATGAATACATGGATACATATAAGAAAAATAAAAGAAACAGTAGGAGAGGGACGGTAGGCACATTGGTGCGCTTATGCACACCCCCTACAAACCTCTTAGGAAAGGGGTGAGGTCAATAGTAGAAAGTCTTAAGGTTAAAGTTTTTGGGGTTTGAGAAAGATACCACAGAGTCAGGTAGAGTATTCCAGACATTGACCACTCTGTTGCTGAAGTCGTATTTCCTGCAATCAAGTTTGGTGCGATTAATCTTGAGTTTGTATTTATTGTTTGCTCTTGTATTGTTATGGTGGAAGCTGAAGTATTCATTGACAGGTAGGACATTGCAATGTATGATTTTATATATTATACTTAGATCGGACCGAAGGCGGTGTAGTTGTAGGTTTTCTAGGTCTAAAATTTCAAGTCTGGTGGCATAAGATATTTTGCAACGAGTAGAGGAGTCGAGAACTTTTCTTGTGAAATATTTCTGGACTTTCTCAACTCTGTTAATATCAGATATGTAATGTGGGTTCCAGACTGATGAGCTGTATTCAAGTATTGGTCTAGCAAATGTTTTGTATGCTATAGTTAGTAGTGTAATATTACCAGAGAAAAAGCTACGTAAGATTAGGTTAACAACTCTTAATGCCTTTTGGGCTATGTAGTTACAGTGGGCTCTAGCACTTAGATCGTTACAGATGAGTACTCCAAGATCCTTGACAGAGTTTGGATCATAAACAAGGTCTTGACTATTCAGCCTGTATTTTATTTTCTGATATTTTTTTTGCTAATATGTAAGAGCATTTATTTGTTGAGATTTGAAGTTGCCATTTTTTTGACCATCCTGATACATAGTTGAGGTCTTTTTGAAGGGTAGCAGTATTGTCTGTGGTGTTGAATAGCTTTACATCATCAGTGAAGAGAACGCAGTTGCTCTCAATATGATCACAGAGGTCATTTATGTAGAGTATGAAGAGAGTTGGTCCTAGAACACTGCCTTGGGGGACACCACTGTTGACAGGTACAGAATTTGATAGGACGCTCCCAATTTTGACCATTTGTTGTCTGTTTGACAGGAATGCTTCTATCCAGTTATGCAGGTGTCCAGAGATACCGTAAGATTTTAGTTTTTGTCGTGTACCACTGAATCAAAGGCTTTACAGAAGTCTCTGTAGATTGCGTCTATTCCTTTGCCATGATAGAGTTGTGTAGTCCATATGTTTTTGCAGTATAAGAGTTGCAGATTGCAGGATAGTTTTTGTGGTTCGACTAGGAAATACTGGGCATGATCCATTGCTGTTTACAAATAGTGAGCCAAAGAATGTGTTAAAGAGGTTGGCTTTAATAGTGTCGTCGTTGCAGTCTTTACCATTAGGTCCTTTCAGGGGTGGGATGACCTTGAATTTTTTAGTTTGTTGTTTACAAAATTGTAGAAAGCGTAGGTGGAATTGATACGTAGAAGGTTTTCCTCTTGTTTAATGTGATAATTGGTGCATTCAGTCTTTATCTGGTGGCATAAATTTTTGCATCGGCTTTTGAAGTTGTGACCAGATTTGTTTTTCCACCAAAGTGATCTCTTTTTGGATTGAAGCTTCCTTATTGTTATGGGTAATCTGTTTTTTTCTGGTTTTTGTAGTTGTTATTGGTACACATAGTTTGATGACGCTTTTGACTTCAAGTAAAAATATGTTGTAATGGTCTTCAACAGTATTGCATCCAGTGAATAGAAATTGCCAATCAAGGGATGAGATATCATTGTCTATAAGATCATAGTTGCCTTTTTTGAAGTTATAATTGGGTATCACATCGTTGTGTTGATTTTTGTGTGGACGTATGTTGAGACAAAAGTCAATCATGCTGTGGTCACTGTTGGAAAAGGCTTGTTTAATTTGTATTCCGTAAATTGAATTCAAACTATTGCAGAAGATCAGATCGAGGCAGTTGTTAAGTCTAGTATTGTTGGTTACTAGTTGTTCCAGTCCCAGGTTTGTTACAGCATTGTAGAAGGTTGCATGTATAGGTTCAGTTTTACATTCGTTTAGGATCCAGTTAATGTGAGGTAGATTGAAGTCACCAAGAAAGATAAAAGTGTGTGGGCAGGCATGTTAGTAGTGAATTTAGCTTGTTTACATGTTCGATGTCATAATCAGGCTCTGTAACATAGTAAGAATCGAAATGTGATATTTAAGGACAGTTCACAGATGATAGCCTCAGGAAGAGCAAGCTCTTGGGTAACTTGGATGTTTTTTAGATGTAAGGACTTTTTATAGAAGACAACAACACCATTTCCTCTATGGATTTCACGATCTGATCAATAAACATGATAGTCTCTTACTGTGGTAATGGAGTCAGGGAAAGATGCGTTGAGCCATGTTTCACAGACAAATATTATGTCGAATTTATCCATATTTAGTAAGAGGAGAAATTCAGGTATTTTATTCACAAGGCTTCTTGCATTGAATAGCTTGCATTTAAGGCCAGTTGTAGTTGGAATTGAGGTAGTTAGGGGCATGTGTGCCTAGTTTTGAGTGATGGTGGGTTGGATGAGGTAGGGTTGGATGTGGAGTTTTCCTGTTGTCTCATAAGGATAGATCTCAGTTTGTTTCTGCTGATACAAGTAATCTGCGTGATCACCATTGGAATCACAATTTCGTTGCTAATGGAGGCAGTTAAATGGGTTGATCCTGATTTTACGACTTTTGCCACAGTTAAAATAAATCACTGCAGCTGTTAAGTGATTCATGCTGTCTTTAAATAGATTGTAATTTCAGTTGGTAAACAAATGGCTGTATGTCACTTGACTTACCTTTTTTTTATTTCAAAGGATGGTATTCTTTTGGGACATTAAAGATGCCACCAGGTAGAGCAGATGATGACTAGCCAAGTATGATTTCAATTTTATGGCATGGTTTGTTGTGCAGTTTCAGTCTGTTGTGGTTTCATCAGCAAACTATGGCCCAACACAGTGCCTACCACCCAGCCAATACTGACAAGTCCTTTGCATCTGATGATTTCGCTGACTTCACTGTTTCTAAATTACCTTAATATACTGTATTTAACACAAAGTCTGTAAAGATTCTCAGTCATCCAGGTCAGGGGTCTCCAACCTTGGGCAACTTTAAGACTTGTGGACTTCAACTCCTAGAGTTCCTCAGCTGGCTGAGGAACTCTGGGAGTTGAAGTCCACAAGTTTTAAAGTTGTCCAAGATTGGAGACCCCTGATCCAGGTTATGGTTGTCCCAAAGGTGCTTTTTCGGGAGGCAACTGGACTGTTTTTTTTCTCTTTGAAGACTCTTCCTTCTCATCCAAGAAGCTTTTTCAGTCTGACTGGATGGTGGGGAATGGAAGGATTTATATTCCTTGCAGACAGCTGGTCATTTGATCTTTTTAGAGGGTCCTTGAAGCACTTGGAGGTTTATCTGTGTCCTGGGGTCACCTGAGTAGTGCTCTTGGTTCCTGTAGTCTGCAATTTTTATTAAAAAAAATATGTTCATACTCCCACACCATTCAAAAAGTGTTTGTTCCCAATTGTACAGCTGAAAGTCTGTAATCCTTCCATTCCCCACCATCCCGTCAAGAGCTGAAGAAGCTTCTTGGATGAGAAATGAAACGTATTCAAAGAGAAAAAAAACAAGGAAATCCAGTTGCCTCCTAGAAAAGCACCTTTGGGATATATTTAAGAGTTCCTTAATCTGGGATAGTTGATCAGGATTTCTCTCGCAATCTAGGCTGCTTCCACTATATGTGTATTTTGTGCCTTTTGGTCTATCCTGACGCCTGGCAACTACATAAACAATATGGGGTGTTGGGTCCCCCACTTTTGATAGTATCTTTCAGAAGTGGTTTACAGTTGTCTCCTTCCTAGGAAAAAGAAGGGGTCCAAAGTTGCCCAGCTGGTTTCTGGGTCCAAAGCAGCATTAGAACTCACATTCTTCTGGCTTCAACTCAGCCTCTTTAATCATTTTGCCAAACTGGCTCCCATTTTTACAGTTCTGACAACAAAAAAAGTTATGTTAAGTGGTTTTGAATTGTGGTAGC